AGTGATATCTAATGTAGATGATGATAATGAAATTTACCTTGCTTGGAACAAGGGCATTATAGAGAGTACTACACTCGACATGTAAATCTGGAGATCAAAAGCTGTAAAAAGTAAAAGTTTTAGAACTTTAAATGGATCATTAAACTTTAATCTTCCTATAACCTAAATTCCTCGTTGTTGTATGCGCACTCTTGTCAATTTCACCTGAAAGTAAATTTCAAGGTAACTTTACATTTGACTCAATTGTCAAAATGCACTAGGTCTTTAGAAGTAAAGAGGTGGCCAATAGCTATTTGTGACATCTAAAAATAGGGTTTTTGTTTTGTTTTGTTTTGCATTTATTAACATTTTGGCTACTAAAATAAATTTTAAACTTTAGAAGCACACCCTACCAGAAATTTTTGTCTTCATTTGTGAATCATGTTTTTGTTTAATTTGTAAGATCACGATAAGAAATTAATATAGATAATAAGCATAAGAGTATTTATTTCCTACTTTGTGTATTTGCTATGTGAAAGTGTATTCTAAAAATAAAAAAGCACAGTGAAATTTCAGTAGTGAAGAAAAATGTGAGCTGATTAATCTATTTTAGTTGTCCCTCAAATTTTATTGCAGTGATGAACGAGAATGACTCCTTCTAATTTTTTTTTCTGTTAGCAGTAAAAGAGAGAAATCACTCAAACAAATTAGTCTGTGAGACTGTACCTTGAAGACGCTCTGGTTCTCTTACTAGTTTTTTAAATAATTCAGGGTTTTGTGTTGACTCAAAGCAAAAATGTGAGGAATAAACAAGACTCTCATTCTGCATGACTGATGTCATTAGAAGCTTTGCTATTTAATTCAGTGAGTGTAGGATCAAGCCTATATTGAATAAATGTTTAACAGGTCTTTTGATACATTTTCTTCCTGTTGACAAACAAAAGTTATGGTAATGTCCATCAGTTTGCAGAGGGGTTAACTGACAAAGGCCCCTGATCCTTTAATATGACATCATGGGGGAGGGTGACCCTATGCCTATATGGAGCACACTAAAATCAGCTGGGCTCTGTGTGGGCACAGGACTCCACATCTGGTTAGCGTATTGCAGGATAAGGGTTTAGGGCTCTAGTACTGCAAAGCTTTAAGCAAATGCAAAGCTTTACATTTTGTTTGTTTTAAAGAAGACTGTGCTAAAGTAACGTGGAAAATGTAATGAGAGACCATAGATCTGGATGCGGAAATAACATCCTCAGGATGTTAAAAAACATGAAGAGTGAATGTGTTTCTAAGCATCATCCACAGGAATGTTACCATCTGTACATGAACTTCAATCCTAGACTTTTGGACTTGGCATGTAGTTATTTGTTTTGCTATTTTGTAGCTTTAAACCTTGGAAAGATTGTTTTTACTTCATCTGGAGGTTAACAGTAATGTGTTTAAGTAGATGTCACACTTATACAGTGGAGGATATGACTCCATTACAACTCTTGTTAAAATGTATATTGGGAATAGAAAGTGGATTATGGAGGGAGAAGAGAATTAAACTTGAAATATATACAATATTGTAATGGGGCATTCACCTCAAGTATGCCCTAGCAGCTAGGTGTGGTGCTGTAACTGTTTCCCCTACTTCTGGAGCCCCCTGTTGGTTGCCAACCTCACTAAGCATGTCTTCAGTGGTTCAGTCCTGTGGCCAAGTCACACCATCAAAATGGAGCTCTTCTGGGGTAGCAAAGCATTTGCCAAACTGTCTTCACCAGGGTCTTCACCCCCTATCTTTGGGCCCTTTAAATCCAGCTCTTCTCTCATTCTTTTAATGGACCCTTGTCCCCTTCTTGGGGCTTAGGCCACTTTGCTAGTGGCTGGTGCGGGAACCTGGGTCCACCCACTACTTTAAGTTCCAACCCAGGCAGACACACATAATGCTTCATTTAATTAGTTGCTGTTGCAGTCTCTGGGCCTCTTCCTACCTGGTCCCTTTACCTCTACCTGTTTACCTTAGGGTTAGTGTTCTCAGGTCCTGTCACTCCCAGATTTAGTGCAAACAGCCCATCAAGCTCTTCTGTCTAGAACGGAGCACCCTCCCTTGCCCCTCTAGCCCTAGCCAGGAACTGACCAGCTAAAGCCCTGCAGCTCCTTTTAGCTGAGCTTGCTGAGTTCTGATTGGCTGATTCCACAAGGCCTCTCTGGGCAGGCCTGGAGGACCCACCTTTGCCACTCCTTTCTAGAGCAGGGTGTAGTAGCCATACGGTCAAGGAAGGTCTAGGTACATACCATCGCATATCTATTTTACAAAAAATTAAAGCTTTTTAAAGAGTTTTCAAAGCAACTGTTTTGTGCTTAAGCTACAAGATTTAAGTTTTATTGTTAATTCACGGGTTTTATAAAATCAAATAGAAATGTTCTCATGAACTCTTGAATTTTCAATGGATGATTTATTTTTATTTAAAATGTTCTCTTGAAGTTTTGGAAGCTCAAACATGCAACAGCATAGGGCAAATGCGGGAGAACCCCCTAAAATGATAGTACAGACAGTTCATTGTCCAACCTGAGTAAACTATATAAAAAAGTCTCATAAATGATCCAGTGTGTAGTATAAATTATATTTTCTTAAATGTCAGTAGTAGTCCAAAGTGCTGACAGTAACAGATAAAGTATTTTAAAAAAATTCCTTGACTTTTTAAAGACACCATAATAGAGGCTTAACTTAAATGTATACCCCAATTAAAAAAAAATAGAGAACCAAAAAAAGTGCCACCATGGTTAAACAACAAAGTAAAAGAAGCAGTGAGAGGCAAAAAGGCATACTTTAAAAAGTGGAAGATAAATCCTAATGAGGAAAATAGAAAAGAACATAAACTCTGGCAAATGAAGTGTAAAAATATAATTAGAAAGACCAAAAACTAATTTGTAGAACAGCTAGCCAACGACTCAAAAAGTAATAGCAATTTTTTTTTTAAAATACATCAGAAGCAGAAAGCCTGATAAACAACCAGTGGGGCCACTGGACAATCGAGATGCTAAAGGAGCACTCAAAGATGATAAGGCCGTTGCGGAGAAACTAAATGAATTCTTTGCATTGGTCTTCACTGTTGAGGTTGTGAGGGAGAGTCCCAAACCTGAGCCATTCTTTTTGGGTGACAGATCTGAGGAACTGTCCCAAATTGAGGTGTCATTAGAGGAGGTTTTGGAACAAATTGATGAACTAAACAGTAATAAGAATCCAGGACCTGATGGTATTCACCCAAGAGCTCTGAAGGAACTCAAATGTGAAATTGCAGGATTACTAACTGTCATCTGTAACCTATCATTTAAATCAGCTTCTGTACCAAATGACTGGAGGATAGCTAATGTGATGCCATTTTTTCAAAAGGGCTCCAGAGCCAGTAAGCCTCACTTCAGTACCGGGCAAATTGGTTGAAACTATCATAAAGAACAAAATTCTCAGACACATAGATGAACATAATTTGTTGGGAAATAGTCAACATGTTTTTTGTAAAGGGAAAACATGCCTCACCAATCTACTAGAATTCTTTGAGGGGTCAACAAGCATGCTGACAGAGGAGATCCAGTGGATATAGTATATTTAGATTTTCCGAAAGCCTTTGACAGGGTCCCTCACTAAAGGCTCCTAAGCAAAATAAGCAGTCATGGGATAAGAGAGAAGGTTCTCTCATGGACTGGTAACTGGTTAAAAGATAGGAAACAAAGGGTAGGAATAAATGGTCAGTTTTCAGAATGGAGAGAGGTACATAATGGTGTCCTCCAGGAATCTGTACTGGGCCCAGTCCTATTTAACATATTCATAAATGATCTGGAAAAAGGGGTAAACAGTGAGGTGGCAAAATTAGCAGATGATACAAAACTACTCAAGATAGTTAAGTCCCAGGCAGACTGCGAAGAGCTACAAAAGAATCTCACAAAACTGGGTGACTGGGCAACAAAATGGCAGATGAAATTTAATGTTGATAAATGCAAAGTCATGCACACTGGAAAACATAATCCTAACTATATATATACAATGATGGGGTCTAAATTAGCTGTTACCACCCAAGAAAGAGATCTTGGTGTCATTGTGGATAGTTCTCTGAAAACATCCACTCAATGTGCAGCGGCAGTCAAAAAAGTGAACAGAATGTTGGGAATCGTCAAGAAAGGGATAGATAATAAGACAGAAAATATCATATTGCCTCTATATAAGTTCATGGTACACCCACACCTTGAATACTGCATGCAGATGTGGTCGCCCCATCTCAAGAAAAGATATATTGGAATTGGAAAAGGTTCAGAAAAGGGCAACAAAAATTATTAGGGGTGTGGAACGGCTTCCGTATGAGGTGAGATTAATAAGACTGGAACTTTTCAGCTTGGAAAAGAGGCGACTAAGGTGGGATATGATAGAGGTTTATAAAATCATGAGTGGTATAAAGAAAGTAATCAAGGAAGTGTTATTTACTCCTTCTCATAATACAAGAACAAGGGGCCACCAAATGAAATTAATAGGTAGCAGGATTAAAACAAACACAAGAAAGTATTTTTTTCACGCAATGCACTGTGAAATTCTGGAACTCCTTGCCAGAGGGTGTTGTGAAGGCCAATACTATAATGGGGTTCAAAAGGGAGCTAGATAGATTCATGGAAGATAGGTCCATCAGTGGCTATTAGCCAGGATGGGCAGGAATTGTGTCCCTAGCCTCTGTTTGCCAGAAGCTGGGATTGGGTGACAGGACATGGATCACTTGATGATAACCTGTCTGTTCATTCCCTTTGGGGAACCTGCTGTTGGCCACGGTCAGAGGACAAGATACTGGGCTTGATGGACCTTTGGTCTGACCCAATGTGGCTGTTCTTATGACTCAAATATGTAGTTGTAAATTGCAGCCTAGGAGAGAAATCAATCTGTTTTACAAGTTACACTCTGGTTTTGGAATTTATGCCAATATAAAAGTTATTCATTTACTTGAGAACATGATATCAAGTTTAAAAAAATCAATAACAGATTTTTGTACTTTTCTTTACAGAAATTGAAAAATTCCAAAAAGGGGAAGGAAAAGAAGAAGAAAAGTATATTGATGTAGTGATAAATAAAAATATGAAGCTGGGGCAGAAAGTATTAATTCCAGTAAAACAATTCCCTAAGGTAAGTTAATTTGTCAGAAATTTAAAACTGGTTCTTTGTAAGAATGTGATAGCAAAATATATCCAGTTGTTTAAGCAACAAAAGATTGTTCCTAAACCTAAGACAGTATTATCTACTATTGCTCATGCTATTCTTAATTTATTATATATAGTTCTCATACCGGCTTCCTCACCATACTGCTCCAGATACATTTTCTATGAACTTTAGATTTAAAGCTATACCTATGTCTACTTGTGTGAAGGGAAGACTACTTGTAACCCTCATTTCAAGCAGTAGAAAAAGGAAATATTTTTGTAGTATATTGAAACTAGCACATAACCAAAACCTCCAGGATATTGCAACTGTTCTGTAACCTCTAATAAAAAATAAAAAAAAGAATAAAATAATACTTATAGTGACTTTAATCCATAGACCTCAAAGCAATTTTCAAAAGTAGGTAAGCATTATTATACTGTTTTTTACAGGTGGGGAAACCAAGGGCACAAAAAAAATGAAGTGACTTGCCTAAGGTTGCACAATGATTAGGTGGCAGAGCTGGGATTAGAATTTGGGCCTCCTGTCTCCTGGTCCTGTACACTACCCACTGGATATTGTTGCCTAGATGGTTAACAAAATGACATTAATAAATTAATATAAAATCACACAAATATAGGGCTGGAAGAGATTTGGATACGTTAACTAGTCCAGCTCTGTGCTCTGAGGCAGGACCAAGTCTGAGGCTGTTCTAGATTTGATTTTGACAAATAGGAAGGAACTGGTTGTGAATTTGAAATTGGAAGGCAACCTGGGTGAAAGTGATCATGAAAGAGTTCATGATTCTAAGGAATGGTATGAGGGAGAACAGCACAATAAAGAGAATGGATTTCAAGAAGGCAGACTTGAGCAAACTCAGGGAGTTGTAGGTAACATCCCATGGGAAGCAAGTCAAAGGGGAAAAACAATTGAAGACAGTTGGCAGTTTTTCAAAGAGACATTAGTAAGGGCACAAGAGCCTATCTTTCCTATGCAGTGGGATAGTTTGAAGTATGGCAAGAGCCCACCCTGGCTTAACCAGGAGATCTTCAATGATCTAACTCAAAAAAGAGTCCTACAAAAAGTGGAAACTCGGTCAAATTACAAAGGATGAATATAAATAAATAACACAAGTATGTAGAGACAAAATTAGAAAAGCCAACGCACAAAACGAGATCAAACTAGCTAGGGACATAAACGGTAACAAGAAAACAATCTACAAATACATTAGAAGCAAGAGGAAGACCAAGGACAGAGTAGGCCCATTACGCAATGAGGGAGAGAAAGACAATAACAGAAAATGTGGAAATGACAGAGGTGCTTAATGACTTCTTTGTTTCGGTTTTCACCAAGAAGGTTGATGGTGATTGGATGTCTAACATAATGATTGCCAGTGAAAATGATGTAGGATCAGAGTCTAAAATAGGAAAAGAACAAGTAAAAAAAATTACTTAGGCAGGTTAGATGTCTTCAAATCACCAGGGCCTGATGAAATGCATCCTAGAATACTCAAGGAACTGATTGAGGAGATATCTGAGCCATTAGAAATTATCTTTGAAAAGTCACGGAAGAAGGGAGACATTCCAGAAGACTGGAAAAGGGCAAATATAGTGTCAATCTATAAAAAGGGAAATAAGGACAACCCAGGGAATTACAGACCAGTCAACTTAACTTCTGTACCCCAAAAGATAATGGAGCAAATAATTAAGCAATTGATTTGCAAACACCTAGAAGATGATAAATAACAGTCAGCATGGATTTGTCAAGAACAAATCATGTCAAACCAACCTGATAGGTTTCTTTGACAGGGTAACAAGCCTTGTGGATAGGGGAGAAGTGGTAGATGTGGTATATCTTGACTTTAGTAAGGCTTTTGGTACTGTCTTGCATGACCTTCTCATAAACAAGTTAGGGAAATACAACCTAAATGGAGCTACTATAAGGTGGGTGCATAACTGGGTGGAAAATCGTTCCCAGCAAGTAGTTATCAGTGGTCCAGTCATGCTGGAAGGGCATAATCAGTGGGGTCCCACAGGGATTGGTTCTGGGTCTGGTTCTGTTCAATATCTTCATCAATGATTTAGATAATGGCATAGAGAGTACACTTATAAAGTTTGCGGATGACACCAAGCTGGGAGGGGTCGCAAATGCTTTGTGGGAATAGGATTAAAATTCAAAATGATCTGGACAAACTGGAGAAATGGTCTGAAGTAAATAGGATGAAATTCAATAAGGACAAATGCAAAGGACTCCACTTAGGAAGGAACAATCAGTTGCACACATACAAAATGGGAAGTGACTGCCTAGGAGGGTGTACTGTGGAAAGGGATATGGGGTTCATAGTGGATCACAAGCTAAATGAGTCAACAGTGTAACACTGTTGCAAAAAAAATCATTCTGGGATGTATTAGCAGGAGTATTGTAATCAAGAGACAAGAAGTAATTCTTCTGCTCTACTCTGCGTTGATTAGGCTTCAGATGGAGTATTGTGTCCAGTTCTGGGCACCACATTTCAGGAAAGATGTGGAGAAATTGGAGAAAGTCCAGAGAAGAGCGACAAAAATGATTAAAGTTCTAGAAAATATGACCTCTGAGGGAAGATTGAAAAAAAATGGGTTTGTTTGGTCTGTAGAAGAGAAGACTGAGAGGGGACATAACAGTTTTCAAGTACGTAAAAGGTTGTTAAACGGAGAAGGAAGAAAAATTGTTCTTAACCTTTGAGAATAGGACAAGAAGCAATGGGCTTAAATTGCAGCAAGGGTGGTGTGGGTTGGACATTAGGAAAAACTTCCTAACCCGTCAGAGTGGTTAAGCAGTGGACTAAATTGCCTAGGGCGGTTGTGGAATCTCCATCATTGGGGATTTTCAAGAGCAGGTTAGACAAACACCTGACAGGGATGGTCTAGATAATAGTTAGTCCTGCTTTGGGTACAGGGGACTGGACTAGATGACCTCTCGAGGTCCCTTCCAGTTTTATGATTCTAAGTATACATAGACCATCCCTGACCAGTGTTTGTTTAACCTGTTGTTAAAAACCTTCAGTGACAGGGAAGCCTATTCCGGTGCTTAACTATTCAGATGGTTAGGAAAAAATGTCTAACATCTAACTTAAATATCCTTTACTGAAGACTAAACTAATTACTGATTATCCTTCCTTCTGTGGACATGGACAACAATTTATCACTGTTCTCTTTATAACAAACCTTAACATATTTGAAAACTTATCAGGTTCCCCATCAGTCTTCTTTTTTCAAGACTAAACATGCCCAGTTTTTTAAATCTTTCCTCATAGGCCATATTTTCTAGACCTTTAATCATTTTTGTTGCTCACATCTGGACTTTCTCCAGTTTGTCAAAATCTTACTTGAGGTGTGGTGCCCAAAATGAGATACAGTTCTGAGGCCCTAGTGGTGCCGAGTGGAGCGGGACAGTTACCTCCTGGAATGATATTAGCCTTTTTGCACCTGCATCACATTGTTGGCTCACACTCAATTTGTGATCCACTCTAACCCCCAGATCCTTTTCAACTGGCTAGCCAGTTGTTGCTCATTTTGTATTTGTGTATTTGATTTTTTCATTCTGACCTGTAGTACTCTGCATTTTGGACAGTACATATTGGTTTTACTTCAAAGGTTTGAATTTCCTATTAAGATATCTATATGTAGTTAAAACCACTAAAATCCTAGGGACTGTCTGCTGATAAAGTAAAGTCATGTCTATACAGAGAGTTAGTACATGGCAAACTGTGGTGTAAATCTACAGCGCTCTAGCATGCTGTGCAGTAACAGGTCATGTGAGCCCTGCTACCACATGATAAAAGATCTGTAGTGCACTTGGACCTATTGCTGTTTCAGCTTTCTGCACACTAACACTCCGTATAGAAAAGCCCTAAGTGCTTTTGTCCTTAATGCATGAAATCCCCTCTCCTCCATTATTATATTTTGCTTATTATACTACATTATTTTTCTTAGACACTCTCTGTTTGTGTTCATGTTGGTATGAAATGGAAAGTTGTCAGTGATTTATATTTAATATGGATTCTGATTTTTGGTGATCAAGTCTGTTATGATTGCAGATAAGATACAGAATGCCATTTTGTTACCAGCCTAACTTTTTGAGTAGCCTGCTGAGAGAACCATTGCTTGGAGATGGTGTGATTAATGGTTTACAGCAGCGAGTGCCTAAAATAGGGTTGTTTCTGCTCAGAATAACTGAGCATAAAAGTTTTGCGTCAACCCTGTTTAAAAGTTAATATAGTCCTGCCAACAGTTTTAACAAAAAGCTTTCACATTGCTGTCAGTTAATAGACTGAGCAACTCTATAGAAACTCTAGAGAAAACCCTAAGTACCTGCCGCTCTAGAACTGTAAAGAAAGCAGATTGCATTTTGGGGTATTGATGGTGACTCTGCACTTTGAACCTCTCTGTCTCAGGCAAAAATGCAGTTTAAGAAATACCACTCTACCAAATTATTTGGTTACTTAAACTATATTTCTACTTCTTAACTAAATCTTTTTCATGCTTTAATCAGTATGAAGTTGTTGAAGGGTGTTCTGCCCAATTCATTTACTAACCCACCCTCTCTCATTATTAAGATGTTCTCTGGACCCCTTCTAAATTATACACTCTGTTCTAGGGAAAGGAGGGGCCAAAAGTATCCCCCATTGATTCCATTTTGAGTATCAAAATGGAATAAATGTTGCCATGTGCAAACGTTTGCAGAGCATCCAGCTGACAGTACAGCAATCCAGTGTTAGATTCACAAAGGGACATAGGCGTTGGAATGCCTAACTTCTAGGTGCCTAAAAGATCACTGGGATTCACAAAATCTGAGTTAGGTGCTCAGGCTTTTTATACAATGAATGGAGGAAGTTAGGCACCTAAGAATGGGATTCACAAAAATCAGCATGCTAATAGCCAATGGAAGATGCTAAGGATAAGAATGTGTCCTGATCCCTGCCCCTCTCAGAGGGTTTGATGCCTAAATCT